GACTCAAAAACTCCACTGCACTAAAACTGAAGCGTACAAGAACTTTTATCCACAGATAACCAACCATTTATCTCTGACAGCGAAAAGCCTGAGAGAATTGGTTGAAGCTGGTTAGCTGAATGGTGCAATGTTTGCCCATAGACACCAAGCCCCCATAATTCGGGTCTGAAATTGAAGCCAACACGGAAGTGAAATAAACTGCAGTTCCACCCTCATCCACTAGGGGCTGGTGTCAGAAGCGAGCAAATCCTCATTGACTCCCATGTTAAAAATACCAATTTCACAGCAGAAATAAACATGTTTACAGCCTGGTACCAGAACATGTTTTTGGTTTAAATGATCTAGTTTACACTCATGACAACTCTGAGGGGGGTGAATGTTTTTCTCACTCTTCTGTTTAAGTGTATTAAAAGCCTAAAATTCTGTATAATTAATGAGCATCAGACCCACGTGACCACAGAGCTAGCTCCGTGGAAAGACCTCAGTAGAGCCTCGGTCTGGCCTGGAAACTGCTCCGGGATTTTCAGTCTCTCAACTTAGACCATTAGTTGTAGCGTTCTTTCTGGATACTTTTTGTGCAATTGTTGGACAAAATGACTTGCTGTGGCATTAATTGCACTAATAGAGCGTCCAAGGAGTCTCCACTTCATTTTTTTCGGTAAGTAAAATTATATTTATGTATTTTAGGTCACTGCCGAGCTGAGCTTAGATTTTAACATGTACTGTTTAACCATGAAATTTAAATGTAATAGGGTAAAACCCAGTGCATTTAACATAATGCTGCACTTTAGAAAATGGGTTGAAATATGACATGTTGGTGGAGCTGGGTTACGACTATTGGTATGGTCCCCTCCCCTCAGCGGCAGCTCGGCGCATCTCTGACCGCAGCGGCGCTTGTCTGATGCGCGGCTGCCGGCTTGTGGAGGTCTCGGGAGACCTCCGTGTTCCACCCAGTTTTACCCAGCGGTCAGCCTGGCGTATCTCTGACTCAGAAGCTCTGGTGTTGTGCACAGCTAACTCCGGTTGTAGCTAGGTAGCTACCTCCGTTAGCTTAGCTCCCACCTCCGCGTTAGCTTTGGGTTAGCTTGTAGCTACATTGCTTCAGTTTGACGGGTGTTGTCAGTTGATCCCAGCCTTACAGCCCCACCTCTTTTCCCTTTTATGGAATTGTCTGGGCTTGACGGAACCTGTGGCACGGTCAAAATGACGGCGGTGGCCACCTCCCATTTTGGCACAAAAACGTATAACTGGAGCCTACGGACACGGATTGTCCAGTATATATGTCGATGGCAGACGCCCGTGTTTCTGTTCTCCAGCTCCCGATGAGCCGGTATTTCAGTCATGCCGAGCGAGGCTGAAAAGCAGCAGGGTAACGGTGTCACGCTTCGATGGCTGAGCCGTTAACTTCAGATCTAAGTCTTTCAGTTTTATTTGTTGACTTTATTATGCTGAAAGTGTTGGCTAGGACACATGTCTACGTGAAGCTCACAGCTCTGCAGATCCATTTACTAACCCCGAAAAGAAGCGTGAAGAGTGTTTTATAATTTCATCTCACATGAGAGCTTATTAGAGCAGAAGATGTGGGAAAGCATGAAAACAGACCTTGAGTTTCCTCCTGGCGTTGAATTTCTTCAGACACTCCACAGTCTCCTGCCTGTGCATCATAGACGCCACAGTGGATCGTTGCTAAGGACGACGAGGACAAATAACCATCAAAGACTTAAAAAACTGGCCATCTTCTGGCTTGTTTTCAGCCAGGTCCTCCTGATAGTTTCAAAGATGGCGCCACTTACGCAGACCCATGGGTGCTTGAGCGCCTCCTGAGCTGTGATCCTCTTAGCTGGGTTGATCGTCAGCATCTGGTTGATCAGGTTTTTTGCCTCTGGGGTGACGGTGTCCCACTCTGGGGAGGGAAACTGGAGGTACAAACAAAACAAAACTGCTTCACATCTGATTTTTTACGCTTTCTCTGCCCATAACCTGATTCTTCTTAGAGAATTTTGAACAGACATTGCCCATCACGCGCTCTGCGCTCCTCTGACCAAGGCCTGCTCGCTGTCCCTCGTTCTAGGTGTCGTACTCGCGGGGACCGGGCTTTCTCAGTCCTAGCACCGTCACTCTGGAACCAGCTGCCACCCTCAGTCAGGCTGTCCCCATCTCTGCCAGTCTTTAAGAGTCGCCCAAAAACCCACCTCCTCCGCTTGGCATTCCCTGAACGTGTTTGAGTCAGGCCCTCTTTTATGTTGATTTTATTTCCCTGCTGTCATTGGTCTCTTTATCCCTTCGTCTTCGTCTTCCTCCGCTTATCCGGGTCGCGAGGGCAGCATCCCAACTAGGGAGCTCCAGACCTTCCTCACCCCGGCCTTCTCCACCAGCAGGACCCCAAGGCATTCCCGGACCAGATTGGAGATGTAACCTCTCCAACGTGTCCTGGGTCGACCCGGGGGCCTCCTGCCGGCAGAACATGCCCGAAACACCTCCCCAGGGAGGCGTCCAGGAGGCATCCTGACCAGAAGCCCAAACCACCTCAACTGACTCTGTTCGATCTGGAGGAGCAGCGGTTCTACTCCAAGTCCCTCCCGAATGTCCGAGCTCCTCACCCTATCTCTAAGGCTGAGCCCGGCCACCCTACGGAGGAAACTCATTTCGGCCGCTTGTATCCACGATCTCGTTCTTTCGGTCATTACCCAAAGCTCATGACCATAGGTGAGGATTGGGACGTAGATCGACCGGTAAATCGAGAGCCTGGCTTTCTGGCTCAGCTCCCTCTTCACCACGACAGATCGGCTCAGCGTCCGCATCACTGCAGACGCCGAACCAATCCGCCTGTCGATCTCCCGATCCCTCCTACCCTCACTGGTGAACAAGACCCGAGATACTTAAACTCCTCCACTTGAGGTAGGACCTCTCCCCCGACCCGGAGTTGGCAAGCCACCCTTTTCCGGTCGAGAACCATGGTCTCAGATTTCTTTATCCCTTGTTTTACCCATATGTCTTCAACTTTAATGTTTTACCTTTTTTGCTTTTGTTTTCGATTTATTCATCATGTTTCACATTTCTCATGCACCGTGTTCAGCACCTTGGGCTTCCCGACAGGGTCGCGGAAGGTGCTTTATAAATAAAGCTTAAATTGATTGATTGATTGATTGATTGAGAATTTTTGTTTTTGTTTAGATGCTCACCTCCAACCCATAAATCATTCAGGCATAAAAAGTCTTCCAAAACACAAATAACTCAAATTAAATAAAACTCCAATCAAGTCTTTAGGCACGTTGTTTTCAGCAGAGTCACTATTTGTTCCTGTTCAGCTGAATATAAAATAAAAACTGTTTGAAGGACAGAAAAAAGGAATTCATGACCAACAAGATGGTTTCCAACTAGCAGAAACCTAGTCAAGCACGATCAAATGAGGGACGACGCATCTCCTGCATGCTGGAGAGTTGTCCTGTTTCATGGATAGGTAATCGAATAAAAGCTTGAGAAAATGTCTCATTTGGTTTCTGCAAGAAAAAAAACAGCTCCTTTTTGAGCTGGCGCCATCTTTAAAAGGAGCTGAATGATGCATAACTCACTAAAGATGGAAGCTAAACAGTTCGTTTGTTCCAGCTTCTTGATTATTAAAAAAAAAAGAAGGCAAAATGATTGATGAGGAACTAGGCGTAGGCTGGATCTGATCCCTGCATGCACACACATGCTTTTAACACGTTAGCCACTGCGGCTCCTGGTGGGCGGACTGTTTAACAACACCAAACCGATCCGAGCCCAGCCCCCGTCAGGTCCTGTTGTGTTTAGGCAAAAGCACGGGGGTCTGTGTCTAATGAGCCCACGATCGCTGCCAGAGAGTCAGTCAGGTCCTCTCTTTATTTGGCAGGAAGTTCAACGTGATCTATTGGTGAGACTCCCCTCTGCACCCCCCTGAAATATGAATGAGGTGGCTGAGTTACGTAATGGTCCCCAAAATGGAAAGGGGGCAGCGGGAGGAGCAGGGAGGGCATTGCAACAGAAAAGGAGACTCACATCATAAGCCCCAGCCTTGATCTGCTGGTACAGCTTGTGCTGGTCCTCGTCCCAGAAAGGAGGGTAACCCACCAGCAGGATGTAGAGGATCACCCCTGAGACACACACACACACACACACACACACACACACACACACACACACACACACACACACACACACAAACACACCACACACACACACACACACAAAGACGAACCATTTTCATTAGTTTGTGTGTGATTATTTAGGGAAACACCAAATGCACCATGTGCATGAATGAGTGTGCTTCTGTACAACTCACCGCAGGCCCAGATGTCCACAGGTTTGCCATACGCCTCCTTTCTCAGTACCTCGGGGGAAAGGTACCCTGGTGTGCCGGCAAATCCTGCAGGAAAAACCCATGCACAATTGATTGACACGCTCAAAGAGACAGATTGTGTTTGGGCTTTCTGTGGATCAGAGAGCAAAGAAAAGCAGGATCATCTTCAGTGACTACGTTTACATGCAGCCAATACCCGGGTTATGATCGGGTTAAGGTCGGTATTCGGGTTTCTGAGTTGATCAGAATAACCCGTTTACAAGCATAAATAGAAAGAGTTACCCGTAACTTGCATAACCCGATGTAAATGTGGACGTTGGGGTAGCGTCAGGACGTATGGACTGCGTCCAGATGCAATATGCGTCATTTCCGGTTCTTCTTGTTCCGGTAGCCGTGAAAACAACAACATGTTTCCCAGTTCGGAAGAGATAGCGACCGCGTTTGTTTGCGCTTTAGTTTCCTCGTCACTCCAAAAGTGTGGTGCTGTGCCGCGACTCGCCATGTTGCTCCCAACTTGTTGTTTACTTCCGGTGTTCTGGTGCGTACGAGACGTCTCGCTACTCAAAAGACCAAGATTCCTTGTGAACAGAGCATGTGCAGAACACACGCTTCGATGGGGATATCCCGATATGCGTTTACACGACCAAACATTCGGGTTAGAAAAGGGTTACCCCAGGTGTAGTAACCGGGTTTTTAAAAACCCGGTTATGAGCATATCCGGGTTTCTGGCGGTGTTTACAAGGACCTGCGGAACCGGGTTATTGTGAATATTCGGGTTTTAAAAGGGTTACTGGCTCCATGTAAACGCACTGATTGAGTCTTGAACTGTTGGTTCAAACAGTGATGGGTTCAATGCTAATATCCCACTCATTGGTGTCTGTGAGATCAAAGGGGTTATTTTAAAATGCACAAGTCTCCAACAGAGAAGCAGGACTAGGATGTTGTCATTAGTAAAACGCACACTCCTGGAGTAAATGAACTCACCAAACCAGGCCTGCTGATCCCCCTGCACCTCGATGGCCAGGCCAAAGTCAGCAAGCTTCACTGCAGCGTTCTTGCACTTGCTCGCAAGGAGGAGATTCTCTGGCTGAGTAAAACAAGAGGAGGGTGAGATGTTATCAGGATTAGGGTTAACCTAGCCCAAAGAGACATAAGCACATGGTCCAAGTGGAGCAGGACCGTGTGTTGCAGGTATGCATGCAGAATAAACCGTTTTTCCTGACACTGCATCCAGCCCTCACACACAGGACACACATGACACGAGCAGACATGCAAAAGCTTTACAAAAACATTTCGTCCACATTTCATCTTTAAAGGCACCAAGTCCGCACTTCCTGTCAGTCCGAGCCTCGTGTGGTGAGCGGAGGCCCGATAGGCTCCATGTGACCTAGATAATACACCTAGCCTCATTACTCTCTGTCAGAGGAGAGCTCTAATTATGGGCACCAATCCCCACCGGTCTCGGCTTGCTCTCGCTTGCTTTTACCACATCGGTCTTAATCTTGCTAAATCACTGCTTCGGTTCTGACAGGCAGGTGAAGCCAACCGGGAGGAAATGTTAACACAAAACATCGTACAGGGTTCGTTGGTGTCCTTCGTAGCGATGAAGCTGATGATAATCAGGACATAACATTACTTACACGTTTAAAAGTTAAGATATTAATGTAACCAATATTAAGTTAATAATAACCCTTATAATAAACCTTTTTGTCAACTTTTGAGGGACTTGAGGAAGTTATTTAATGATGTATTTTATTGTAAGACACTTATTTAATTAGGGGACCTGCCATTCAGGCAGCTACCTTATAGTTCTTCACCGGAGGATTTGTTATCTTTATCCGTAGTCTTAATGCGGCTCAAACGGCAGAGTGCACCCCCACAAATTCAACATAGAAGCGACCGGCTCGGCCGCGGGAGGTGTGCTATAACTTTTCTAAGCAATTCAATTTACCATGACAATGTAATTAGCGAAAAACTAGTAAAAATGCCTCTTTAATTGGCCTGTCCATTTTCCTATTTGGCCAGCTGGAGGGTTTCTGTCAACATTTATTTCGCTTTCTATTAGGGGCATGCACCCCCCACAAACAACCGGCTCGGTCGTGGGGGGTGTGGTAAATCACGATATTTGTAGTGATCACCCTAACGTCACCCTAGGCTAGTATCATGATTTGGGGCCTCTGTAACACATGGCCGCCATCTTGCGCCCGTGAGCAGGTCCCTTTTTATACATTTTCAGGAATTTTCTAGTCCAAATCTGCTGTTGCTACTTAAAAAGGTCTTCCTGAAGCTCAGCCATGCCAAGACAAGCCTAATATAGTCAAACAATAGATTGATACATTCATTATTAAAGAGCAAGTCACCCCCTACCAGAGTATTACTCCACTCCCACTTCCTGTTTGAAAAATGCAACAAATGCTGTTGCCTAGCAGACCGAGAGGGCGGAGCCGCTAACAAATACACACACACACAGGCTCACAACGACATTGTGACATCATATGGTACCAGCTAACGTTCTAGGGTACCTCTTAGCCAATAGCGATGGCAGATTTAAATTCAAATGCAGTGCAGAGTTTTTACCTGACAACGGCACAACACTGAAGATTTAAATTTTAACTAAAATGCACTAAAGCGCTAAACTATTGAATACACGTGTCTGCAGCACGATTAGACACACATTTATATAGTTTATCAGAAAAAAAAAGTTGATTTGGGGGTGACTTGCTCTTTAAATGGATCTAAACAAAAATATGAAGAGAAGTTTGGGATTTAAAACATTTCTATTTTCACAGTTTTTGCTACTCAGGCTGAAAAACAGAGCAGAAAATAACTAAAAGATGAAGGCATCCTATGCAACATTTTCATATTTTTAAATGGTTTTCTTGAGCCAGTATGTGCTAAAATGACATGTTACAGGGGGGTGACTTGCTCTTTAATAATAATTAAGCTTGTATAAACTTAAAGTTGCACTTGCACAATGTTTCCTCTTGATTTGAAGCCTAAAGAAAACTCTTACAATTTAGCTTGTTTACTGAATTTCCTGTTCTTCCAATTAGCTGATGAAGCTGTCTACAAACGTTTAAGACAAAGACCAGCAACGCAAGTCCAAACTTCCTGATCTGAAAGAATGAGGACGTTATATTTAGGCTCTAATTGCGGCACTACCTTCACTGCACTGCAGCAGCAGCATGTCTGCTTCTTTGGTTTTCCTCTCATTGTTATCTTTCCTTAAGGTCAAAAGAAAAGAACGCACCTAAAGCACAGATCTTTAAAGGTGTGCTTTTTCTTACAAGCTTCGAGGCCAAAAGGGAAGGAAGAAGAGCAAAGAGCCACAGAAGCAGTAATCCTGAGGCTCCGCGCCTCGCGTCCTCACGTTCTCCTGGCTCTAGCACCCGGTTCTTCTTTTGTAAACCAGGGGAGTTAAACTTGCCAACACTGCAGCAGGAAGATAATCCGTGAAAACGGATGTGGGAGGAATTCATGATGAAGCAGCCGCTTCCATCAAACAAACAAAAAAGAAAAAGAAAAGGTGCATACATGCAACACGTTCAAACAGTACGCAACAAACGTTACTTGATACGAGCCCACCTCCCCTTTCTAGATTTTTGGCAGGCAAATACAGTCAGACACATGAAACACACGGCTGAGCACACAGAGGACAGAGAGGGACGGCTGCAGATGATAAAATATATTTATAATATATATTTTTTTTAAACAGCATTTGAGAGCAGGTCATGAGTGGGTGTCTGAAATGAAACAATTCCAAGTCCCAGATTCCTCTTTTTCATTTCTGTTTATTGATCTGTAAAGACTCTGGAGCTGCTGTGGCATTTCCGTCCTCAGAAAACGCAGCAGAGAGGAAGAGCTTCCTTTAAAAGGCATTTCTAGACTATCAGAGCAACAGTTAAGAGGACAAGCACACCAACGCATCTCCTGTGCAGCCTGTAAACCGAAACTTCACTTGCAGAATATCTCTTGTCCTAATTTGAGGGATTATGTCAGTCAGGGCGTCCTCAGTCATCACACTATGACCTATTGCATGAAATGCTCTCCAGTGCGTGGGTATGAAACCAGATAGGTGCGTAAGCTAAATAAAGACTTGGCCACAACAGCTCTGATAAACACAGCGCGCATTTGCTGGAATGCTGCGACTGACATTTGCATAGAGGTCCGCGTGACAAAGTGCATCATGCAAAACAAGAGGCAATGGAGGCAAACACGAACAAAACTACCAGCAGGTACAACAGAGATCAGCTGGAGGACTGGAAACAGGGCGATTTCTGATGTATAGACACCGTTTCACACAGATCTCATTATACATGTTGCTATGGAGAACGGAAAAGGCATAATGAACTCAGCAAAACCCCTCGAGTGCACCGAGGGCTGTGTGGAGAGCACGACGCATTATTCTCTACAGAAACATCTCTAAAGTTGCATTTGGTATTTGGTTTCCGAATCTAAAAACAGAAGCACTTTATTAGCCACTGATCCAACACCAGTCTCCAAACATCACAAGTTAACTTCTTTTACAGTAAAATAAATACGTAGTTGTGTTTGAGTCTTCTGCTGATCTATGAAGGGAGTCTGAACCACAAAGGGAATCTCATAATCAATAGACAACATCTCTCCCTGTTGGGTAAATGAGCCAGAGCTGAGATGAAGTAGCTCCTTGGCTGATATTATAAGGAACAGCTGTGCAGCTTCAGAAAGCCTGTTGCATAGCAGAAGCAACAGCCAGCTAGAATAGCCGGCACTGCATGCTCGACATTGTTGAATGCTTGAAATCTTTATGAACTTAGAATGATGTTTAAACAAGAAGGTGGCTGTGAAGAGCTGCAGCCTCTGCATGGCAGGAAACATCCATCCATCCATTATCACCCGCTTGTCCACGTAGGGTCGCGGGGGGAAGGGGGGCTGTGCCTATCTCCAGCGGTCAATGGGCAATCAGGCGGGGTACACCCTGGACAGAGAGCCAGTCCATCGCAGGGCAACACAGAGACACACAGGACAAACAATCACACACACACACCTAAGGACAATTTAAACAGACCAATCAACCTAACAGTCATGTTTTTGGACTGTGGGAGGAAGCCGGAGTACCCGGAGAGAACCCACGCATGCACAGGGAGAACATGCTAACTCCATGCAGAAAGATCCCAGGCCGGGAAGCGAACCCAGGACCTTCTCGCTGCAAGGCGACAGCTCTAACCACTGCGCCACTGTGCTGCCTTGGCAGGAAACAACGGGAATAAAGTCAGACAGTTCACAGAGAAAAAGCTTCTTAAAAACAACTTTCTCACAGCCCTCCACAACTCTTGAGACTTTGCAAGCAACATCCACAGTTTCTAATTAACAGAACGGAAACCGACAGACAACATAAATATCACAGTGACAAATATATAACTCTGAAGGGACAGCACAACGACTCCCATCACTCACCTTCAGGTCCCGGTGCACCACGCCCATTTGATGGCAGTGAAGCACCGCCTCCAGGATCTGCTGGATGCAATGACTGCATGCAAACACCAAGGGGAGGGGAGCGCATGTTAGTCTTAGCAGCGTTACAAACCCGTGCACAGGCCAGGGGAGCGGAATGGGGAGGGTAGGGAAAAAACGAGGGTTAAAAAGAATCTTCTGTTGCCAGCTGTCCATAGCGAGCCCGAGTCATGCCCGTCTACTTCCAGGCCACGGGTCCCCGGAAGAACGAAGATATGAATGTAAGTCAATGGAGCTAAACCATAGGCTTCTGCTAACTCACAGCTAAGAACAAATCCAGGACAGAAAATATTAAACCAATTTGGTTTGTTTGAATTTAATTCCTTTCTGCTAATCTTACAATTTTAGTAAGTTTTGGTGAAGAATATTTATTATGTAGTAAAGGCACAGCTGTGGGTTCTCTAAAACAGAAAACTCTTTTAAATCCATCAAATTCATAACTACCAGTTCACAGTTGTGTATAATCTCAACGTGACTTACGGTATTGGTCGTATTCTTTAAAAAGAAAGAACTTTTTTAGCTACATGTGGCTTCTAAAGACCCTGCCACCATCCTTGTTTGGACCAGCAGGCCTTGGATAATGAAAGACGGGTG